TGAAAGCCCTGCTCTTAGTTTGGATGCTGTATTTCCATCCATTCGTTTATCCACCTATCCAGTAAAAACTTACTAAGTACCTGTGTGTGCCAGACAGCGGTTTAGGTATTAAAAGTACAATTAAGAACAAAAACAAAAATCACTCTTTATGTATTTACATTTCAGTTAGAGGAGGCTGACAATGAACGCAATATAGTAGATGGTGATAAATGCTATGAAGAAAAATAAACCAAGAAAGGAGGGTGTGTGGGAGTGAGAGTTGCAATTTTATTTTATTTTATTATTATTATTTTTAAAGATTTTATTTATTTATCTTTAGAGGGGAAGGAGAGAGGGAGAGAAACATCAATGTATGGTTGCCTTTCATGCATCCCCTGCTGGGAACTGGCCTGCAGGGAACCAGCATGCAACCCAGGCATGTGACCTGACTGGGAATCGAACTGTGATCCTCTGGTTCGCAGACCTGTGCTTAATCCACTGAGCTACACCAGCCAGGGCCTGAGAGTTGCAATTTTAAATAGGGTGGTCAGGGAAGGGCAAGCTGAGAGTTTATATGTGTGGGGGAGGGTGCCAGGAGCAGGGAACAGCAGGCCCTGGGGATCGGTTGCTGGGCATGTGAAGCAGGCAGCCCTCAGGGCCATAGCCGAGGGAGTGGGGTGGGACACCCAGTGTTTGTTGGGGGCAGTGGGAGATGTAGTCTTCAAAGGCCCAATTTTCTCCTGTGGATGGTTTGGAGTGAATGATCCAACTTCTGAATGGTTTAGCATTGCTCATTTGGGCTGTTACAGTGCAAATTGTAGGGGGGGACAGGGGTGGGAGCAGGATACGAGTAGGGTGCTGCTGGGGTGACCCAAGTCAAGGTGACCAAAGCTTAAGTAGTATAGGAGAGTGGTGAGAAGAGACAAGATTCTGAAGAGAGACACATTCTGAAGAGACAGTTAGGATTTGCTGATGAGTTGGACATGGGATGTGAGGGACAGAGGAAAAAGAAAACTTCTGAAGAGATAAAAATGTGTAAACTTACTCGCATTTTGCAGATGGGAAAACATAGTTTGGAAGAGGGTAAGTGACTTGCCCCAAGGTCATCTAGCTAGAAAGTTCATAGAGCTAGGACAATTTCCCAGGTATTTTCAATCAAAATACCTTAGCCTTTCCGTTGTACACATAGCATTTCTCCCACCCCAGGCCTCTGGAGCCACCTGTCTGCCCAGAGCACTTGGGACCCTCTCATTTCCACAGAGCTCAGTAAATACCAACCAATGGTGTTGGAACATTCTCTGTTGAAATCTCGGGAAGCACCTCAGCCTGAGCCATTTTTCTAAGTATTTATGATAGCCACTCAGAGATCATTCAGAATATGAAGTCTGTAATCTGTTCCCAAAGAACTTTATCCTAGTACCTCCTATAAAGGTTTAGCAGTTTTTCAATGAGAGCCCTTTTTCATTAGACATGTAAATTGTGGATTTGCACATTATCACTACTACTTGTTCCCTTTAATCAAATGGCCAGATCCAATGATAAGGAACTCTCCTTAGGAAAACACTGCTGAATGGGTCTTTGAGGGAGAAGGTACAATTTTCAGGGCTTTGCTGTGGATAAGAGAGAGGCTCAGGCACCTTTACCTGACTGAGTTTCACTTTTGGCCAACCACACCAACATGTCCTAAGGAGCAGTGTCATTGGTACCAGGCTGTGTGGGTCAGCACTTGCTGAATTTGCAAGATTCCTGCCACTGAGGCCCCCTAAAGACCAGGAGTTTATATACATTCTCCTTGCCCAGGATCATTAGGACATTTCGGCCATTGACCAGCCTCACTGTGGGTTGTTCGTCTGGACAGCTTCTCTAAGGACTCTGGGTAGGGAAGACTTTCAGCTTTAGTGTTATGGCCTTTGTAGTCTAAGGCAGACTTGTGCATGTTCAAAAAATTGATATTTGCTTCCTTCAAGATTTTCTCCCTACCCCCATCCTAACACATATACCAGGCAAGTGCCCTAGACCAGGGGACCTTTTGTTCCCTGCCTGCAAGCATGCACCACAGCACAGGAGGCAGAAGGTACCATGCCTTATGCAGGCTCATGTACCCTTCTCAGATAGGATAGCCTAAATTTCTCAAGACACCTATCCTAAACCCCCAGACCTGGGCAACAGGAATACCACCATCTCTGTACTCCTGAGGAAAGCCCCCCTGAGAGAGAAGGTCCAGGTATGTGGCCTCAGCCCCTGCCAGGGATGGACGTATGCACACGTACACAGCTGGCTCTCTGCTGCCCACCTGTCTGCACTTGCCTCACCTACACTGTCTACAGTGCCATGGACCAGGTGCTGCCTCTCTCTGTGAGGCAGTAAGTAAGCAGGGGATCAAGAATGCAGTGCCAGATGTCTGGAGAGCTTCCATTTGCTGCTTGACTTTGTGGTCAGGTTCAGGAACATTTGTTCACTACTGCTTCTTCCTCCCTCCCAAAAGTGAAAGGCAGCTCACTTTCACTTTTATCTCTAGACACAGGCCCTGGAATTTTCTGAATGAGGAGCATGGGAACAGGGAGGCGGTAGTAAGGTACACAAAGGTGCCAGGTACTATGTGGTCCAAACCCAGGACCCTCCTGTCCAAAGGAACTAACACAGCTGCTTAGTCATCAGCATATTCAAAATTCACTGACTGTCCCAACGTCCACACCATCCTAGGTGTGTGCGGACCACCTGTTGGACTGACTGGGACATAGATTATGTAACTGCTGGGTTATGCTTCACCCCACAGTCGCCACCATACATGGAAGCCTAAGGGAAGGACTGGGGAAGCAGCTCTGAAGAGGAGGGTGACTACAGGTAGAATGTGGGGTGTCCCAGGTGCAGAGCGGCACCCCAGGCTGTAGGAAAGTACATGGTAAAGCATGGGCCCTTGTAGAGGCCTTGCATATTGGGTATTGCCAAGAGGTGCCCTGTCCAGAGCTCAGGCACCGAGGACGACATTTGGGAAGAATGGGGCTGGCTTGCAGACGGCACACTGGCCATAGGCCTTCCCACCATCACACTTCGGATGCTCTCTATATCCCTCAGCATCATCACAGTCCTATCTGTGCTTGCAAGGAAAACTTAAAAACTCAATGCCTGAAATGTATTCATAGAGCTTGTTTTCACAATGTTTATTACCCTCCATTGTTGCAAATATTTTTCAGTAGTTTTTTCTGTTTTAATGTATGGATTCTAGGCTCTGTTTGCAAAACGTGTTCCTTGTAAAAAGTTTGCAATATCACATAGCAGAAGTGATGGGGAAGGAGGGGAGATGCAGGGGCCTGGGATGCAGGGCTCAGGGGCTTGGGCCAGGCTAGTCATTCATGTGGGGCACCTATAGAGTGGCTCGTCCAGGTGGCATGGGCTGCGAGTGTAAAATGCCCATCAGATTTTGAAGACTGAGTACAAAATAAAGAATAGAAAATGTGTCATTTTAAAAGAATTGTTCTGCTTAGAAAGTAGACCTGTCCCTTCATATGAAGTTATTAGAAATTCAGAATCACAAGTCCTTGGTTAAAGCAAGGGCAGACAGCTCCATCCCAATATGGTCCCCACCAACCTTCATCCTTCTCAGCATACTGGCTCCTCATTGACTTTGCTTTCTCCTTAAATCTCCCAGTAATTAGGGATTTTTCAAAACACTGCAGATGGATTGTCTTTCTTGCTCCAGACATCAGCTCACCTCCACACCATTCTGAGTTTCATTCCCCACAGTCGTTTCCCTGGTTTAGTACCTTTGACAACTCATCCCAGTGAGCGCACGTCCCCATCAGGTTCCCAGGACCCGGCCTCTGCCCGCCAGCCCTGCTCCTACCACACTTCTGCTATCCCCACAGTAACTCTCTTCAAGTGAGTTCCAGCTCTGAGTCAAGGATGCTAGGAACTCGGCACACACCACATTTAATTCTCCAAAAAGAAAGAAAATACTTTTTATAGCAGAAGAGTGTAAAGCTCAGAGAGATAACATTATTTGGTTAGGGTCTTGTGCCTTCAGAGGGGCAGGGCTGAAATTCAAACCAGGCCTCTGGGCCACTAAGCCTTGCTTTCTTACTATAGTGTCGGGGACCTCTCTTCAAAAACCTGTTGCTACGTTACTCAGCCCTAAAGAGCAAGCCTATTGTCTACTCTAGCTCTTGAAGTCCTCAACAGTATGTGGCCACCTTACTTCTCCATTCTCATCTTTTATTAGATGTACTGCTGTCCACAAACCATGTGCTTTAGATCTAGCCATAGTTCATTCCATGAAGGTTTTCCCTGTTAAAGAACAGGGAAAAGCACAAGTGATGCTCTGTTTTTCCTGAAAATCCCCTTCCTTGCGGACAGATTAGCCTTGGTGAGAGTAGCCCACTGTGTCAAGAAAGAAAATTTGAATGCCAAGCTGGCTAATCCAAAATGTTAAACCCATGTTTAAAATCTCTCTCTCTTTTTTTTTTTTTTTGGTAAATTCCTAATTCTGATATTGTGAGTGAAAAACCAGTAAAAATGACTACAAGTTGTCACTTAATGATACGTAATGATTTTAGTAGTGCCACTGCCTTACAGGTAAAATGTGGAAGCAGAACACTTCTTAAAAAATGATTATATTTTTCATTTTCTTTTCCTCCTCAAGCTTTATCAACACGTTGCTTAGAAACACTATCTCTATTTATTGTTGATGTCCACTTGATAGCACAAATTTCCAACCATATCACACCTAGTTTGCTTGTGTCCTACCACACAGAGTAGCACCATGTGTTAGCACCAGCAGCACCCTCTGGAGCGCTCCCTGTCTTGCTCAGTGTGACCCTTAACCCCAGCCCCTTTGAGCATTGACTGCTACCTTTGGAGTAATAGATCAGTAAAAATTTCCTAATGGTTTCTTATTCTGGGTAGGATTAAAATGAGTATTTTGCCTTGGAGGGGGGTTGTGTTATCCGTAGTCATTTATTCTGTCATTTAAATTTTTTTGTTGGCTGTGTCTTTTAAACCATGCCATCACTTGTTTTTTGAAGTTTCCTCAGATGGTGGCACTAAGTCTTCTGCCTTAGTGGATGATAATGGCAGTGAGGAGGACTACAGCTATGAAGACCTCTGCCAGGCCAACCCCAGATACCTGCAGCTGGGTGGGGAGCTGCTGGCCATCAATGAGGTACTAGAGTTCCACACAGTGATGGTTGACAGACACCCAATTTCCAGGGTCCAGTGTCAGTTCAGATTTTGCTTTCTGCTTATTTCTTACTAAACATATTCTAAAACTTAGAACTTTGACTAGACAAATCCTGAGTTTCTGCCATTTTCAAGGACAGCTTAGGTGATTAAGCTCCTCCCTTTACGTGATAAGAACAGCAGTCGTGGGCATTGATCAGTGCTGCTCGGTTTCTGACACACTGCCCCTTTATCCCAAACCTCACAGCCAATCTAAGAGGTAAATGTTACAGTTATCCTCCATATTTTAATACACACTGAACTTAAGAGGCTAAATTATTTGCTGGCAAATGGCAGCTTTGGCATTAACCACACATTTCTTACTGCTGAATCCAGCATTCTTTGTCAGTATGCATCTTTAGATTTTTTTTGCAAAAACCTTTCTAAAAGCCACCACTAGCCTTCAGAGTTCTTGAACAGAGTGTGTGGAGGGTGACGGTCTCAGTGAGTGTGTTCTCGTTAGTACAGTTGCTCTAGACCCTGGTGGTGTGTCTGGGAACCGAGTGGATACGCTGTTCTGCTCCTGAGAAGGGCTCAGATGGGCTCTGTCTGTTCTTTACTTTTATTATTAACTGCTGAATATCAGAGCATGTGAGAGAGGCTCACCTGCTTCTCTTTTCCCTTGCATGTTTTCCTATGTTCATTTTGTATGACAATACTTTGGTCAGGAATTACTGACCAAAGCTGCTGGTGCATACAGATGAGAACCAGGAGGTGTGTATCTGACCCTGAGACAGCGCACAGACCCCCTCCCTGTCCTGCCCACCTAGCTTCTGCACTGAGCACCCGCCTTCTCCCTTCCAGCTGATCAGCGATGGCAGTGTGGTGTGCGCAGAAGCACTGTGGGACCACGTGACCATGGATGACCAGGAGCTGGGCTTCAAGGCAGGAGATGTCATTCAGGTTCTGGAAGCCTCTAATAAGGACTGGTGGTGGGGCCGGAGTGAGGACCGGGAAGCCTGGTTCCCTGCCAGCTTCGTCAGAGTGAGTGGTGGCACTTTCCACTTTCCCAGCTGTCCCTGGGGAGCGGCCGAGTAGTTCCAGCCAAACTACCTCTTTGTACAGATTCAGTTCTTTGTCATCATTTTAATCGAACCTTTTAGAAATTCAAGCGGGTTGAAGAAAAACATTTAACCAGTTGTTTGGCACTGCTGATGTGTTTAGAGCCTCTGGCGCTGTGTAGCCAGCAGTGCTGATGTGTTTAGACACCCAAGTATATAGGGCAGGTGAGGGTCAGGGTGCCTCCCTTACTGGGCATGGGGAAGTGGAACCAGGGAGGCCTCCCCGGGTCACCTATCCCCCGTGTGTGCACCACAGTTGCGAGTCAATCAGGAAGAGCTGTTGGAGAATTCCAGCAGCACCCAGGGTGAGGAGCCAGAGGAGGATGCTGGCAAGAAACACTCAGAGAACAAGCACCAGATGAGGACCAATGTCATCCAGGAAATCATGAACACTGAGCGGGTGTACATCAAGCACCTCAAGGACATCTGTGAGGTGAGACACCAGACATGTGGCCTCACTGAGGTTGTCGCATGGTTCTTTGACAGGCCCCTATGGTTTTCTCCTGTCTCCAGTCAGACCCTATATTTACACAGTTTTCTAGAGCCCTCGTTTCCCCTCATGGCCTTCTACTCCTCGGATCCCTGCACAGACCACTCACTCATAAAGTGCGTGTCTGCCCTGGTGAGCATAAATGGCTATCCACCCTGCCATTGCAGCCGGTTCTCACCTCAGGGCTGAACTCTGAGATCATTCAGGGTGAGTGACTGTCAGAGAAGGCAACACCCTGTAAGTGAAACCCTCTGGACTTGACAAAGAATCAAAGGTTCCTCACTGTCTACAGCCCCACTGCCTCTAATCACTGTTGCCCAGACAACATTCTGAGTCATTTAGATGTAGACTAAAACAAACAAACAAAAAAATTGGTTTATGGAGTGACAGCCAAGGCTACATTCTAGTGTTATGATAACTCTGCTGTGCAATACATTTTATTTCTCCTGTGATGTTTTTCATTTTTATGGGTTTTCTGTGAGCATTTCACTAAACTGTTGTTGGCCCTGGTGCTCATTCCAGCGGTGCTGGCTCTGTGTGCTGGCCTCCGCACTCCCCGCTCAGCTGTGACGATTCAGCGCGGAGGACAAGCTGCTGTGAGACAACGGCACAGTTGTAACTGGACTAACTGGCCAGATACAGTATAACCAGTGTTTAGTTGATTTATACCAACCATCTTCCTCTGTATAAACATATAGCTAAGGGAGTTTCTTTAAAGTAACATTTTTGGAAAATAAAAGTAATTGCTAATAATGGACTGTGTGCTGTCCCTTTACCTGAATCAGCTCATTTTACTCTCACAACCCTCCCACTGGGCAGGACCACTTAGCCCCATTTCACAGATGAGGAACCTGGGAACTGAGATGTTAGGGGTTGGAGTGAGGCTTTAAACCAGGCAGTCTGCCCCAGAGCTCATACCCTAGACCTTTACATTGTCTTTCTGATAAAATTCATACCAAATAGTCAGTGTTGTGGACTTTACCATATAGTCAGTCTTGTCTGTAATTACATGGTGCTAGTTTGGGAATAATCATTACATATATTTATGGCTTTTCCTTCCTACCCCACTAACTTCTACCTAAGGCAAGGTACAAACAGTGTGTAAAATTAATAGTTTCTAACTAGGGTGAGCCCTGGATTAGAGAGTGACAGATTTATGCTGTACATAAACCATAGGTGATGGTAGAATCCTGGGGGAGATGCTCTTGGCTCCTGGCTTTGGGCTTGGACAGTGGGCAGAGCTGTGTGAGCTGCTTAGCAAGCAATGAAGTTCTGTATGAGACAAGTCATCTCAGCTGTGGAATAAAATTAGGGATAGGAGAATGATTAAAGAGTTTAGAAAAAGTGTAATACCAATATTTGAGCTACTATTTGAAACCAAGCCATTTGTTTCATGAGTATAGGCTATAAACTTTAATGGTTTCTTGAGTGATAAATCTAGCCACACATATCTTTTCTTTTTCCTTTTGTTTAAAAAATATGGCACATTATAATTATGAAAGTATAATTATCCCATCAGAGACCCATAGAAGTTAAAATAATTTTCTGTAATTAAGATCTATTTCATGACAATAGCTCTGGACCCCAAATACTATGTTATTAAAAAAAAAATTTCTATGAGTTTCCAAATCAGTTCTTTACAGTTCACTTTCCCTTTTGCAGGGCTATATTCGGCAGTGTCGCAAGCATACGGGAATGTTTACTGTTGCACAACTAGCCACCATTTTTGGAAACATTGAAGACATTTACAAATTCCAAAGAAAGTTCCTAAAAGACCTTGAGAAACAGTATAATAAAGAGGAACCTCATTTAAGTGAAATAGGATCCTGCTTTCTTCAACATGTATGTGACCCATCGCTTCTTTATTCATAACGTCCAGTTAAATAATTTAAAAATGTTTCTTCACTAAAAATACGAGGTCTTTTTGAACTTTGTTTGCTTACTAGATTAATTTCCCATAGAATGGAGATATTACTTGTAAATTAAGTTGATTGGTTTATATGGTTAATCTCTAGCTAAATACCCAAGTCCATTGTTCCAGAATCTTTCTACTTTTATGCAGTTCGGGGTACTTTTTAATAATTCCTATTAATTGTCTATTATATGTTAAACACTATTTTCAGGATCTTGTTAGCTTTTATGTTGCTGTGAGGTAGATATGATTATTGTCCTCATTTTACAAAGATGAAAAATCTGAAGCCCAGAGAGTTGCTGACCCTGGATCATACATTAGTAAGTGGAGGGTGGAAATTCAGACTGAGATGTGTGGTCCTGGAACCCATGCAAGTGCCTGCTGTGTGATGATGGCATTAGCATATTATTTAACTGATGAATGGCTACCACTATTTAATTACAAAATGCTTCAGAGGAAGAAGATTTTATTCTCAGCCAAAATGGCCAGGGCATAATAGTAATAGCAACAAGGACAACCACCAAACCACCAGGCAGCACTCCGTGGTTGCTAGACCCAAGAGCTTCATAGAGGCAGTAGAGTGAAGTAGATTCCCAGGGTGGTTGCTTTCAAATAGCTGAAAATGCTGTGGGGGTAATGAGGTATGAAGATTGACCCCATGAGGCCCAAGAACTGGGGCCCAAGCCTGCCCCTGGAGTATAGAAGAAGGGAGGGAGGCGCACACAATGAGGGATGGAGAGAGGGAAGGAGTGGGCTCTGCAGAGGTCAGGAGAGGGGTGGGTGTCACGGAGAGAGCTGGCAGGGTAGCCACAGCTTGGAAGTGACCCAAGAGGAAAGGAAGTGAGCAGAGGGCTTACCTTTGCGGGTTAGAGGGTAACATGTATGTGGAAGCCAGGTGCTGTGATGTTAAGGAGGAAACTTGTGGAGAGAAGGCAGAGGCTTTGAATCCTCACCTTTTGGTCATGGTCAAGGAGTTTATCAGGGAAAGAAGGGAACGAGTTGACCTTCTCTTAGATCAGAGGTGGGGTGAGGAGGGTGTCAGCAGAGAACGACATTCTTCTGGGAAAGCCCAGTGCACCTGTGGCACACCCTTTCAGTTTGTGGAAGGCTGCCTCGAAGGGGACTGGGGCTCCGAGGCCTAGAGCAGACTTTCCCTACACCTCCCAGAGAGTCTGCAAATGGCCCCTTCCTATAGAGCACATCGGGCCTCTCATGCAGGCGTGAAAAGCATTGCAAAAGGACTCGGGTGCCATGTCCCTCCTCCTGGGAATGCCCCTCAGGTAGAATGGGCTATTGACTGCTATTGTCTAGCCCACAGCCACCCATAGCCTGATGACACTCTCTTTCTCCTCCCCAGCAAGAGGGTTTTGTGATCTATTCTGAGTACTGTAACAACCACCCCGGCGCCTGTGCCGAGCTGTCCAACCTGATGAAGCAGGGCAGGTACCGGCACTTCTTTGAGGCCTGCCGCCTGCTGCAGCAAATGATGGACATTGCTATTGATGGCTTCCTGCTCACACCTGTGCAGAAGATCTGCAAGTACCCACTGCAGCTGGCGGAGCTGCTCAAGTACACCACGCAGGAGCACAGGTGAGAAAGAGGCCACATGGGAAGCCAGGCCCAGTCTCCCCATGGTGTGCTGGGGCTCTTAGCTCTCCCCGGAGCCTCCCAGGGTGGCAGTGGCAGACAGGGTCAGGTGTCAGGCTTGTCACTTTCAGTACCTCTATGGGAAGAAGTGTTCAGATTGTGTAGAATGTTAAAGTCATTTATGCTGAATGAAGCTTGAACATGAAATTTTTCAATGCTGGACATCTCAGGCTGTATGTAGATTGGAACTGTAGTTTCTGTTTTTTCAGTGTTAGAGGCCTTAGGAACAGGAGCCTGCTGGGAGCAACATTTTAGTGTGATTTGATTGTAGCATATGGAAAGTGCCAGAAACAAAGATCTGCTAATGAGGTAAATGCCACATTAGCATTTATATAACTTACTCTGTCAACGTTGTGTGGTTTGTGTCCTCTGGTACCCTTGCCCGAGCTATGTGAAAGATGGGACTCAGAGCAAAGTATTACTCTTGAACAGAGTTAGTAGTTATTAAAGCACTTTCTGTAGCAAAACTGGCTGTATCAGAATGACAGCAATGATAAAAACTGTCCTTTCCTCAGTAACGAAAGTCATTCATTGTCACTGTGATTAAAACATTTCTTGTGGCATTTACTTTCATTCATGGTAACTTCTGGGAAATAAAGGACAACATTCTTATCCCAAAGAATTCTGGATTGCACTTGGTCTGTTCCTTTAACCTGTGCAGACCGTAGCCTATTCATGGAGGAACAAGGAAAAGGAAACAATGGCTATTGTTTAAATGTCACATTGTCTAGACTATTAGTGTACAAATCAGGGATGGAGTGCATTATTTTGTCAGTCTCCATTTGTGAGTTGCATGTCATGGTTAAAATTAATCTCCCACTTTTCAGTGATTACAGTAACATAAAGGCAGCATATGAGGCCATGAAGAATGTAGCCTGTTTGATCAATGAACACAAACGCAAACTGGAAAGCATAGACAAGATAGCGCGGTGGCAGGTGTCCATCGTAGGTTGGGAGGTAAGTGGACCATACACCCCCAGTACACACACACATCGTCCATCACCACGCACATGTGCCCTCCCTGCCACCACCACCACCACACACGGCTCTGGTCTAGTTAAATGACATATTTTAATGCCCTATTGTTGATACTTTATACTCATGGCTTTATGGTACACAGGATTCCCCTGCTATTCTAAATTAGAGCCTTCCTATGAAACCTTTCATATGCTGAAAAGGTGGGAAGCCAAAGACCAGTACCTTGGGACACAACCTGCTGATGGATGTACAGAATAAACCGAGATAAAGCACAGATGCTCACAGACACAGCCCAAAGCTCTTGCAACTCGATGCTAAGATGCTGAGTGGTTCCCAGGGAAGGAGCTTCACAGGGCTGCTCTCACTGCTTGGGGCGCACTGCCTCTCTAACTGCTGCTGCAAAACAAACTGAATTCTATTTTTACTTCTTGCCTTTTTTGGTAAAAATGAAAATTCTCCTTGGATTTTTTTTAGTTATGAAAACAGGTATTAAGGTAGGTCTTTAGTAAAAGTGGAGTGGTATAAAGAGAACTTTTGAAAAGCAGGGGATACCTATATACATTTTGAGGCATATCATTGAACTTAAGTCTACTACTTTACTTTGAACCTCCACCAGAAATAGTTTAAAGAGTGTCTGTAATTAATTTATTCCCTATGTGTCTTTCCTACAAGAGAGTAAGCTTCACAAGAGCAGCTGGAGAACATTTAAAATACACATGATTGTGTGGACTGTGGAGCTGTTTGGGTTGCCTGTGTGTAAACCCTCTGTGAACTGGGGACAGTCACTGTTTTCATCTACATGGTGGAGAGGAAACTATTACTTAACTCATAGGGCTACTGTAAGGATTAGAGGACTGCAGATGCAGGGCTTAACACAGCCTTTAATAATGGCACATGTGCACGTGCACATTTAGTTATTTATGAAAACAAGCAATGATGATAGCTAGTGCCCACATTATGTTTATCACATGCCTAGCACTGGTCTAAGCCATATATATGTGGGAACTCATTTAATTCAACAGTCCTGTGAAGTAGGGGTTACTACCCCCACTTAACAGATGGGGAAACTGAAGCACAGAACAGTTAGCTTTCTTGTCCCAGTCACAAAGCTAGGAAGTAGCTGAACTGGATTCAAACAAAGGCAGCAACCTGGCTTCAGAGTCTGTGCTGGTAACCACTAGGCTCTGTGGCCATTATTAAGAATGAAGTTGATGCTGTTCATATGGTTTTTAGAACAAGCAAAATTCATCCTACATCAAACTGGCCAAAACTCACTTTCCTGAAGGATTATGAAAGTTTGGGTTGAGAAGTTAGGTTTTTAACTCAAGTCCATAATAGTGGTAAAAATTGGAAAGAAATACTTGTATTTCAAGAGCCTTATAGACTTTTGGAGCTTGGAGTTCCCTGAGTGTAACTCGTTTATTTTGCAGGTGAAGAATATAGGGCACAGAATTGCTCTAAGCAAGTAAATAGAAGAAGCATTTTGAAGTCAAAGCATTTGCCTACAAAAAATATTGTGTATGACTGAGATTAAAGGAGAATAAAATCTTTAATTTATAAAATTAAAAACCAGTACCATATCAAGTACCATAAAGTTCCACCGGATTAGACCCAATTTAAATATGATGAAAGTGTGGTTTCCTTGAATTCTTGGACTCTGACACTTAGCAGATAATTTATCATCAGAAGTTTACCAGTTTCTTGCTGGCAATCTGCCATCTGGCCTTTGAAGACCCTAGTTAGTTATTCCAGGGGAGCTGCTCTATGCCTGCCTCAGAGCCAGAGTGCCCACAGTGTGGCATCCACACCTAGACCTGCCTGTGGTCCCTGTTCTCCGTGGGTTGGCCTGGGCCAGCTGCCACACCAGATCATGGTTAGACCCTGTTAGTCCAGCAGGCTCTTTACCCGTTTTCTGACAGAAGGAGCACTTCATATTACATAGAGGCACTGTAACAGTTTCCCACTGAGTAGGAAAGAAACAAATTATCACACACAAGAAGACTAATAAACCAAGGTTTTAAATGGTCTTTGAGATTCTGGCCACTGGTGAATGGGCCTCAGGCAGCTGGAAAAATCTGGGGAAGATTCTGGGCCAGGCCTTATCCTGTAGTCCTAACACCTGAAGGTGTGGAAACTGGAAAGTCTTACTTACAGTGTGTTCTTTCCCATCTTCCAGGGGCAGGACACTTTAGACCGAAGCTCAGAATTGATCCATTCTGGGGAGCTGACCAGGATCACTAAGCAAGGCAAGAGTCAGCAGCGGACATTCTTTCTGTTTGACCACCAGCTGGTGTCCTGCAAGAAGGACCTGCTGCGCAGGGACATGCTCTATTACAGGGGCCGCATGGACATGGATGACATGAAGCTCGTGGACCTAGAGGATGGGCGGGACAAGGACTGGAATCTCAGTGTAAAAAATGCCTTCAAGCTTGTCAGCAAAACTACTGATGAGGTGCATCTGTTTTGTGCCAAGAAACGAGAAGATAAGGCAAAGTGGCTGCAGGCTTGCAAGGATGAAAGGAGGCGGGTGCAGGAGGACCAGGAGATAGGTAAGGAGCACCTCAGTGCTACGGGGTGTCGTTGGCTTCTGCTTTTGAGCCTCACCCTTCAGCCTTCTCCCAAAGAGCTAAAGCCCACCCTTCAGAAAAGAGAAGGATTTGCGAATTGTAAAAATTTCTAAACTTGCTTACAAGACAGGCCATGACAGATGTAATTACTACTAGCAATGTTTATGTGCCAGAGTTATGCTCCACATTTGCAGAGATTGTCTCATTTAATTTCAAAATATAGATATTATTTCTATGCCCATTTTACAGATGACAAAATTGAGGCCAAGGCCTTTGCCCACTCTTACACGATGACCAAGTAGTATTAAAACCAGCTCAGTGTGCCCAGGAGACTGAGTCACACTCTGGTGACCATCACCCAGGCCATGAGAAATATAAGGTGATCCTTGAGGCTTCCTCTTCAGCTGTGCCTTTAAAGCACTTTAAATTTACCTTGCTGTCACAGTCCATTGTGGCCCCACACCTGCCTGCATATTCCCCATCTCAGTTACAAAGGCTCCTGTGTTGCAGTGAAAGCCATGCCTCTCCATACTCAGAATTGCCCTGGCCTCTGCGGCTCTGCTCCCCTCCAGGTATCAACTGGCCTGTGAGATGCACCATTGAGCCTAGTATTTACAGTGGGGGCACCCACAATCTCTGAGCTGAGATAGTGCCACCCAGCATGGTAAGGTTTGAGCACAAATTGTTGAATGGAAGTCAGGATGCCACAGGGACCATGGACCTCTAGAGATGAGGTAGGATGAAGGGTACTCACTTCTGCAGAACTCCTGGGCCCAGACCTCAAAGGTGGTGTGGAGTAGGATACAGGAGAAGGCCATCCCCTTTCAGTTCCTAGTCCACTGCCATGAGGAAAGCTGGAATGAAACCAGGAGGTGCTCTGTTAGCCCCCACCATGGCGTGTGTCACCAGCAGTGGCCCCAGGCTTGGCCGTGGATGACACTCTCACCCACAGGAGGTTTCATGGGATCATTAGAGTAGAAAGGGCTCTACAAGTTGTCAGACTGACTTGCCATCAGAAGCAGGAATCTCCTCTGAAATCTCACTCTTAACAAGTGAGCACTGGCTCATACCTTGACCTCTCATGGCACAGAGCCCACTGATCACAAGTGGCCCCTTCTGCTAAGTGAAAGTATCCTATCCTTTATTCCAAGAGGAAAGCTAATCCCCAGCAACTTCCATGTATTGATGCAGCCTTTGACTCTTGGGTCTCATTGGAATAAGGCTCATCACTCCATCATGCCAATTCTTCAGATAGTTGAAGGTCACGTAAGTTCAGTTGCAAAATGAGAGATTCGCAAAATCCTGATTTTTACCTGCCATGTAACGTTGTCTGGTGCAGGCCTTGAAATCATTTCTAATTTGGAGTGTTTTGGCTTTTCCTCAGATAGAACAAAATATTTAAAGGGCATTATAAATACTTTTCAACTCTGCCCCTCAGCCCAAGAAACAAGGAGGGGGCTGATGTCATACCTCTGCAATTCAGTGCTTCCCCACAGCTGGTGCTCCGAAGACAGACAGGAGTGAATGAATGGATGGCTGCAGGCAGCACTCTTGGAGCCATTGAGTCTGTGATGTGGGTGTGAGTGGACGAAAATGTCGTGTCAGCCTAGGTGCCCAATACACAACATGTGGGATCATCATGCCATTAGCCAGGCTGGGTTTGGAGCGTGGGAATAAGGCAGGGCTTTGCTGGCCTCAGTGCAGTAGAAGCCAGGGGTTAGTGAATGGAGCCTGAGGAGATGATAGGACCCACTAGGGACTGATATCAGGCATGTCAAGGAGCCAGGGCACAGGGAGCAGAGTTTTCAAAGATAAAGGGTGAGCCTTGGTGAGTGGTCCCAGGTAGCAGAGGCATAGTCCAGGTCTCCTTCCCCACAAGGAACCCTTGCCCAGGGAAGTATCCAGTCTGGCAATGTAAACCTCCTCCACCTCTGTCCTTGCCTCTCTCCTCACACTCTCTATAGTTGGAGTAACCCAGTTCCCATCCCTCAAGTATTACCTGTGTTAGGGGGAGAATAAAACTCAGCTTCCACAGCAGGTGGGTGAGCAGGACTGGGGACCCCTTTGATTTGTCTTCTCCTCCTAGGGCCTTGTCCTGTAGGGAGGTGATTGGGGTGACTCCACATGAACTCTTGTCTGTGCCTCCTTATCAACAGCACTCCATCTCACTCTTCCCAGGGTCCTGATTTAGGGAATAATTCTGTAGCCATCCTACTAATAATTCTTGCTCCTGTCTCCTTTTCCAGTCTTTTTGGCCTCTCCTAGTTCCTCTAGAGTTAAGGTTCTTTGCTGAATACCTCAGGGGTAATATTGGTTAAGGCACAAGTTTTATTCTAAAATGTTTTCACTTGTTTTGAATACATATTACCTTTGTTTCTAAATCTAGGAATGAAAATTTCCGAAAATCAAAAGAAACTTGCCATGTTAAATGCTCAAAAGGCAGGACATGGGAAGTCAAAAGGTAAGTTCTGCAGATGCCTCCATCTCTGTAAAGTGTATCAGTTTGGGGATTAAAACCAGGGCCTCCCTGTTCTGAGGGGATGATGGTATTATCATTAGTCTGAGGCACATCAACCCCTTCTGCATCTTTTGGGCCCGTAAGGAGGAAATCTCCAACCCCAACTGCATGTCCACTTCAGGCTACATTCTAATTTAAGTAAGAAAAAATATCTAACATTCATCACATCGTGCAATGAGTTAAGGAACGGGAAGACGCACTAGCTTATTTAGAGCCAGGGTTCTCCATCCTCCCTGCACATCAGAAGGACCTTGGCAGCTATTTAAAAATATCAGTGCTGAGGGCACACACTGCAGGGTCCTGATGTGCAAGCCAAGATTGTGCTCACATAGGTAATAGTGATACTCTAGCCTAACAGAAATACTGAAGGTCTTTATTCCAAAAATATTATATTTTTATAAAATTAATTCAGATTGACTCCAAGAAGTATTCACTCTATAATGTTTAGCCATTCAGTATTTTTCTAACTGAAAATACAAAAAGATCAGTTCAGCCTAGGACTGTGATAAGCCGTCAACTGCTACACCAAGAATTCATTACCAACACCACACTCATAACTTTCCTTCTCCCTCCACTCAAATGCAGAAACCCCACCCCTCCTCCCAAATCATAAATATGTTCAAGGCAGAAAAATCCACTGTATTCTATTTTGACATCTCCACTTTTACTGGCAGGTAACCAGTAAATACCAGTGTGTTAGAAAGTATTTGTTTCTGTGTTTTCTAAGACTCACTAGCTTAGCAAGTAGCCCCTGAAGAATGGAATGAATGATCACCTTTCATGCACTTTCATAAGTTACCTATTTCGTCCTCCCTATTGTCCTAGTAGCCAAGGAAGACCTAGTGGTAAGTCAGAGGCAGGGATGGATTCTGAATGGAGGTCCTTGCTCCTTTCAAACCCATACTCTTTCCTCTTACCATGCTGACTTTCATGGTTACTGCGTGGTCTTATAGCTAGTTTCAATAGACCTTTTTAATGACCTCTGCACACATTTAAAATGCTGACTCTAATACAATAGTTTTGATTAAAGTGATTAAATATTGGGGGCACTATTCTAGGCACGCTACTTCTGTTAACTCGTGTAATTCTCACAACCCAGCAGGCACTGTTGTTCCTACCTTAGATTTAGAGAACTGAGACACAGAAACCAATTAATTTCCCAGTGATTACAGCTAGTAAGTGACAGAGCAGGATCTGGGATAAGGCAGTATGTTGTCACTTGTCATCCCGAATAGTGATCCTGCCGCCTACTGTGGTGTGACCGCAGCAATTCCCATATGCTTTCTGGTTTGTGTCCTTCTGGTCACACTGCTGTAACGGCCCTTCCTGGGATGATTTTTGTGAGGGTTCAATGAGATAATCTACATCACACCTCCACACATACTAGGGGCTGAACGTCTTATGACAGCTGTCAGATGTGCTTTCAATTAGTGCTAATTGAGAATCGGCTAAGAACTCAAGTCTTGGTGCTGTTTTTTTTCCCCCTCTTCGGCTGATAAGTGACCCTCAGCCCATGTGCTATCTTTCTCCTCTTGAGTTAGGCCACAGTGGATGCCCCGAGGCCCTGCCACACCAGGGCTTGCACCCCATTCATCAGCGCCACATCACCGTGCCCACCAGCATTCCTCAGCAGCAGGTGTTCACCCTGGCAGAACCCAAGAGGAAGCCTTCACTGTTCTGGCACACCTTCCATAAACTCACCCCTTTCAAGAAATGAAAAGAGGGAGGGCTGCACTTCAACTGTGCACAATCCAAGGACAGTCTTTGGACCCAGTGCTGGAAACTTCTTTTGAGGATGAATAACAAAGAGAAGGACTTGGGCTCACCTTCGGTGTTCAGAGACACAACTGTCTCCTTGGAAGGGGGAGAAGGTGGTGATGCTTTCACATACACAGGAACCCTCTGTGACCTGTGCCAAGGCAGCCAAGACCAAGGACCTGGTGACGTATTCTAAAGTGAGTGCTGAACAGAGGGCCCTGCGAGCCTCACTGGTGACAGATGCTGTGCACAGCCCAGGTCCAAAGTGCCGTGAGGAAGGGCAGGATGGCGTGGCACTTTTGCATTTGATTTGAAGGCAGTGGTAGTCCTGGAATTGGGATGATACTACTCATCGCTGGCACAGGTAAGCTGCATCTCTCTTCCATGGTATTAGGAAGGGACTTACTGCATATGTGGTATCCTGGGTGTCATCTGAACCTACACAGTTGCCATATGGCAGTGCAGTCTTCATCCAGCCAGGTTCCTCTCCTCTACAGGCTGGAGGGGAAAGTGAGCCTACTGTGTGACAGGGAGGTCTGCAAGGCAGAGTGACTTCAGCCTCCTAACGGTAAGGCTATTTTCCAGAGAGGGAGGGAGGTAGAGGAAGTCCTACATGGGCTAGATTGGCCCTTCTCAAGTCAGGTATGCTCCTGTACACATGCAGTATATGACTTCATGACCAGAAGTCATGTCTATTGACACATCATAAACTAAAACTATTCAAACATACCCACTTGCAATATAAAAACCCATTCCTTTTGATTTTATGGCAAAGTGAGTATGCAAATGCACCAATCAAAAGGCATTCTAACTCCATCAGTTATTCCTGGTACCCTTAACAATTAACTTATAATGGCATTTACATTCCCCTGAGAAAGCATGAGCTTGTGAGCAGTCCAGGTGCATATATAGAGCCCACTTGGTTGCATGAACCCAAATAGCAGTGCTGACTGTGCCATTATTAGCATGTCAGAAGGTTTCTGAAGAGTCCCTCTTTATAAAAGAGAACTTATCAAAATATATCTAGACTCAGAGCAGTCTTTTTTTAATGAGGGCCACATGGTCTGATACCTATCAACGTTTTTTTCCTAGTCTATATTGTAAATTTTTATGAAAGTAACTTTTAAATATGTCTGGAAAAGACAGGCTCTGCAAGCGAGATGCCATTGTAAATTACTTTGTGCCCTGGATGGGAGGGTATTGTATGGCACAAGTTGTGGTTTTCTATTTGAGAATCTCTTTTTTGTATGCTACTCTCAGAAAGTTGTTTTCCACTAGACTCATGCTTGAGAATGAACAAACCTGTACTGTCAAACAGAGGTGGAATCTGAGTCTCTGGGTGTGCAGCTCCTCCTCTCCCTCCTCCTTCCTCATACCCAGAGCTGTTCCCGAAGGAGGTAAAGTTCTGCAACAAGGGGACAAAAATCCTGGGCCTCTCAGGTGAGGCTCAGAGCAGCATCCTACAGCAGTGTCAGAAAGTCATACCTGTCCTTGAGCCTGCTCTGTACCTCCAGGCACTCTTAGCAACAGCGCTGGGCAGTGTTGCTAGGAGGTTGCGCTGGCCCATAGCCAGCAACCCCAGACGTTGCTGGGAAGAGGCTTCTCAGGAGGTGCTGTGTGTACACACATGAGCATGTGTGTTTCGTGTCTGAGAAGAAATTTCAATTTTAGTAACGTTTATATAACTGACCTTTTTACTAACAAAAAATGTTATGTTTTCTAAACTATACTAAATATGCTTTTCATGGGCCCCTCAGCAATAACTGTAGGGGTCTATGTGCTGAAGTAGAGTTCTCTGTATATACAGCAGTTTTGAACAGTTGGTTGTGTTTTGTTTTTCGTATAGGAGAATTATGTTAAGGAAGCAAAGAGAACTATTTGCTTAGGTTATATTTTAAATGAATGTTCAGTGAGTAAAGAACCACTCAGTGGGCTTCCACTTGCTAATATTTATTAATGGGCAATAAAGAAATGCTTTAAGTTCTGTGACAAGTCCTGACTTATTTCCCAGCTGAGCCCTGACTTTGGTCCCCACCTCTTGCTCATGGACTCCTAACAAGAACAGGAAGCTCAGACCCTGGCTGGCATGTAGCTCAGTGGATTGCCTGCAAAAAAAGAGTCACAGGTTCAATTCCCAGATCAGGGCACATGCGTGGGTTGTGGACCAGGTCCCCAGTAGGGGATGTGTGAGAGGCAACCACACATTGATGTTTCCTTCTCTTTCTCCCTCCCTTCCCTCTGTCTAAAAATAAATAAAAATCTTAAAAAGGAAAAAAAAAGAAGAACAGGGAGCTTGGATATCCAGGCCTGCAGGGCCCCTGGGGCCTGTCAGCTCTGTACCATGTGAGAATCACCTGTTCAAAGATCTGTTCTAGGTGGGTCCTGCTTGGGTTTTCAGTTGATTTTGAAAACTGCTAAAATAGATTTAAAAGGACAGAATGTCCTTTGACTTCTTTAAGTAAACATGTCTAGCTTCAATTGTTTTACCAAATGCCATGCCAGAGTTCTATAAAGAATAGATGGCTCAAGTAGCCGAATTTTGGTTTGCCAAACTTCCTTCTTGACTTAAGTCACATGTTCCACTTCGAAAGTATAGAAAAAACAGTCTCTATACAGATTATGTATGAATTTCATTGGGCATTTAACTTTCTCGGTCTTTCTTTCACTCTTTTGAATCCTACATTGCACAACACGGTAGACCAAAAAAAGAAGAGATGATATAGAATTTTGATGAACTTCACCTATTCTATCATTCATATTTCAGAATTTGATAACTGTCGAAAGGCAGTTGCACTGGCTTTGGGTCAAGAGCAACCTCCTCAATGTTGACCATACCTAAAATTTAGAACAACTTTGCAATAGATAAAAAAAACAATCATAAAATAGAATGTTTATAAAATCCTGGAGAAATAGCATTTTTTGTCTTTGGGCTGAAAAGTAGAAAAAGAGTGGCAGCAGCTTGCCAGGGCTTTGATGAGACAGACCATCTGTATAGTTTAGTTCATTTTCAGTATATCTGATCTTTTTCACCTGGATCTGATATTGTAGTTGAAAACATTTCATTTCCATCTCCCCACTATTTCTGAATATTATTGTATCTTTGTGTACCTAATCTAGATGAAGACTAATTTAGTGCCTGTTCAGAAAATCCCTTTGATACTAGACACAGCAAAAGTGCATTTCATTGAAAATTTGGTTCACAATAGAAATCTTTCATAAAAGCCATGATATGTGATATTTTATCAGTTGGAGATAATAATGTGCCCACATTGCTGATATTCCTCAATAAAATCAACTCACTTAGCCAGAGTAGAATAGCCTGACTACCTGGAGTTAGGGGGGAAATTGCTGTATTATTTTTTGTTGAAGAGAAAAACAGATGTGTCTCTCACAGGACTGTGTCAGCGAGTGTGAATAAATGTCCTTTCCAGGCTATAGGACACAAACTAACCAGGACAAACTGCACACAGTTGTCCCCAGCAATGAGCTTCACCTATCTATTGTTCTCTCTATTAAAGTGTCACTTGGCTAATGCTGCTCTCAGGACGGATGTGGTAAAGTTCAAAAGATTTTGGGAGAAAAAAAAAACTATCTGACCTTGAAAAATCCAAAAGATTAAATATTTAATGCAAATGTACTTAGCTACAACATACATGACAATATTGCCCTTAGTTATTCCATAGGCATCAACATTTGTATTTAGAATACTTTGTTTGATTCTGTGATTTCATACTTCATTCCTTGTGTAAGTGTTAGAGTCATTCATATTTGACTTAATGTACTTGCAAGGCTTTTGGTAACCTTTTCATTTTAACTCAACACCAAGATGATATGATCCATGTGAGTTGTGACAGCTCCCAAACTGGGGAGCTGGCTGTGGACAGCTGAAAGATGTTGTATAAGATCTCTGTGACTTGAAATGTATTTTTGTTGAATGAAGTTTTTATAAAAATATATACATATATTTACAATGTTATTTGAATGATTTATTGTAAATGCTGTGAATCTATATTTGTTTTGTACCTGTATATTAAAATTAATTTGCCAAACTGTTTCTAGTAGTACATTTGTATATTCGAATAAGTTGTTTTTAATAGAGATAGAAGGTCAGGAGGGTTTGTGGGATTCACAGTGCATTTCTTACCTGGACATCGATGGAGTTCTTTTCAGTAATAATCTGTCCATTAATGAGCTAGATTGGACCACTGGACAAAAGTGGGAGAAAGAAGGCTCTCCATACCTGTCCAGGGGGGAGTGAATAGGGACCACTTGACTCAAAAAAAGTCACTAAACATTGGAATAAAATTGGTAAAGCCAAAACCTGAAATGAGAAGTCCAATTTTGTGACAGCAGCTTTTGCATAGATAGTAGAAGGTGGACAGTAGACAACAGAACATGCCTCTTGTTTCCCTGCTGCTGGCCAAGGAAAGGTCTGGCGCCTTTGCTGATCCACTAGTGGCCCTAGGCCTACTTACCCTCTGGGGTGGGGTATATAACAATTTCCTCCTCTAATTAATGGCTCTGAAAAGCTAGTAAATAGCCCATTGTTTGCTGTGACTGTGATCTGAAAAGGATTCCTATAAAGGTTGCCAGGCAGCTAGTTCCCCCGCCCCTCCCTGTTTTGTTTGTTTACTCTTACTAGCTGGATTCTCCTGGAGCTGGAGGGAAAGAAGGGGCTTAGCTGGGGGTTGTGGTTCTTGGAGGGGTGAGAGTTCTGGGAACCAAAGTCTGCCTCTCAAGGGCTGGCTCCCAAGGACTCAATCTGGTAACACACACACACACACACACACACACACACACACTATGTATGTATATATAGGCAGGAGTGGGATTAGAGGTCTGTGGCCATTTCTTCTAGAAGAGTTGTGGGGAGGTGACCTAACATGAGTCACTTGCCCGATGCCCTGGAAAGACATGCTGAAATGTATGAATCCTCCAAAAGAGCTTACAATTGAAAAGGGAAGACAGACAGGCACAATTAAAATTGAGTGTGCACGGTGCAACACAGGAGTGTTGGACTTCAGGAAACAAATCCCTTCCTCTAGTATCAGGGTAAGAAGCAGCATACAGGAGGCCAGGCCCCAGTGGGACCCTGCAGGGTGAACCCTTCACAGCAGGGCCGGTGTGATGCTAGCCAGGGGTGGTATAAACTGTGTGAGACCAACATATTGAAGATGGATCAAAGAAGACCTTTGGACCTTGATGATACGCTGGGATTTTGTTCTTTAGGCAAAGACTTTGAGACAAGGGATGTTGTAGCCAAACATTCTTAGGCACTCATGCCAGTGACAGAGAAAAGTGCAGGTTGAAAACCAGAGGCAGGGAGGTAATTTAGGAGACCATACCCAGTGAAGAGACCATGGGAAAGGAGAGGAGGTAGGATGGGAAGGATGCTCAGTGGCAACAGCAAGTCTCAGTCAGCCACCAGATGTTGGGAGGAGATGGTGGTTTCCAAGTTCTTCCTTGGGGTGACTGGTGGATGTGTTATACCCAGCTAGGAAAATTACAGCTAGGGCATTACCCAACCCTAAATCTGCAGTTCCTGGAACAGGGTAATGAACAAACATCCGGGAACAATTGGGTTTAAAATTCTAGCCAAATAAGGTAACTAACCCGGCCCGCCAGAAAGTGCCCGCCAGCAGCAGCACCCACCAATCAGGGACCCTCGCCGTTTTTAAATAAGCCAATAGCTAACCGCCACCTCTGCTTCTGTATGCCTTTGCTTGCTTGCTAGAAAATATAAATACCCAGTAGTCTGTAAGCCAGGTGCGACTTCCATTTTGTAGCTCTGAGTAGCTACGTGACTCCGGTCACAGTTGGGGAAGTTCGCCCCTGCGCAGGAAAATCTTTGGCCATTAAAATTTTTATCAGTTCGGTTCTGGACTCCGAGAGTGTGTATTTACCCGCCGATCATCTACAACAGATGCTAGTGCCATACATAGATGCAGAAAATACTGCATGGAGGGGCTGGGGCAGGAGTTCTATGTTTGGGTTTGTGGTGGAGCTGTTCAGTGAGTAGTGAGACAAACAGAGTGAAGCCCAGGAAGGAGGCCAGAGCTGGCAATCGCAAAAGTAAACCATGGGAGTAGAGCTGAGCCACATGGCAGGCAGCAGGAGGAACACCCCAAAGAATGCACAGGTGAAGAAAGAGAAGGAGAAGAGGTCTGGGATGCAGAGGTAGTGGTGGGGGGAATGGCCAAAGCAGAAGGGGAAGGAAGTGTCTGCAGGGCAAATGCTGCCGATGCTCCGCTGGGAAAGGACTGAGGTACCTGGCTAGATTTAGCGATCGAGGGGGCAAAGCAACTGCGGGTGGTGGAGGAGAAACTGGCTTAATTTCTGACCTAACTCCTGCCACTGCCCTGCCCATTGTACTGACAAGGAGACTCAGGGGGGTGGTGTTAATGGTGGTGTACACAGGACTGGGCCTACACTTCATACCCTGCAACCCAACTTGGCTCTCAGCACCTCTGAGAAACAACGTTGGGTACATTCATCCTCTGGATGCCATTATTAAGTTAGCGGTCAATGTTAGTAGACCCGGATTTGGAAGAGATAAGAATCAGTATTATATGGCATTGAAAAGTTCCACCACATTTTTCTACAGGGGTTGTGTGTGTGAGAGAGAGCGAGTAGGGGAGAGAGAAGGCAATGACATGAAATGCTTATGTACACAAATGTCTAAAATTAAATAAATTACAGAGAAGTTTGAAAGATCTAGTTAAATGGTATCAGCTCTAATGGTCTGGATTCCAAATGAGACCAGGCATGGTGTTTTCAGTTTTGTCCTCTTGCCCTCGAATGACCCAAGTTCGGCAGAGAGGTTGCTGAAAGGCACAAACATCACTTTATAGAAAGAAGCCTGCCACCTGCCTTGGGGACTTCCTCCAGACTCCACTTGAACATGACCTCAATTTCCCTAATTTCATTAAAAGGGACCTGGGGAAAGGAGTTAAGTTTTCTAAACTCCATGGAGCTGGTGGAGGGCGCTACTTGACTCAAGAGTGGCTGCAAGTTTGAGGCTGCTCTGCCGAGGGATCTGTGCCTCTGTTCCCACCCCTTCCTGCTGTTTTGCAGATATATTCACTGGGGAATTGCATATGAGGAAGCAGTGATTTTATTTAGTTTGCCTTTGGGTCCTGGTTTGTGCAGTACCTGGATGCAGCCCGCAGCCCTGGGAGCAGGTAAGTACATTAAGAAACAATTTCTTTAAGTTCAACTTAAGGGATCAAAGTCCTAAATTTGTTATTTAATCATCAGTGTGTTACGATCCTGCTTCATTATTTGCAAAGTTAAGCAGATGTTTGCAGAGTTTTGGTTAGAAAAGGAGTAAACCAATTCCAAAATTAATTTTTGAGGAAGAGGCTAAATAGGAGATAAAAGCAGATTTTGAAATTCTGCCAGAACTCTGCAAATGGGCTGGGAGGAAACATGAAATCACAGAACTATAGAATGAGCAGAGCAGATCTTTCTAGAGAGCTATCTAGAGAAGCTTGCAGATTATTTGTACAAATTTTAATTGTGTGTTTTTATATTTATGGCTATACTAATTTACACTGTAATTTTTTAAAAGCCCCTACATGTATGTTGAAGAATAGATACCTAAAGTGTACAATGTATAGAGCACATGGAAGAAAATGTATTCAATGAAGGTAATTCAGAGATTTTTAGATTCTTAAACTGTCAGATCTTGGAGGGATGTTCGTGGTCTAGTTCGGGCCCTGAGCAAAGAAGCAGGGATTCAGAGGTTCAGAGACCATGAAGATTGTTCAGCGTGGTTCTGGCAAGTCTTTATGAAATCTTAGTATTGAGGGAAGTAAGAATCTTGAAGAATGGAAACCCTTAACCTTGGCCATAAATTAGGGGCATCATGTCCCTGGGGGACTGAGTAACCTTTTATCAAGAAATTCAGTAATGAAGAAGAATTATAGTTTAAAGCATAGAAGAAACACCCAGAAATAAGAATTTAAGTAAGAAGCTATTTTGGGACTAAAATAGGTTCTTACTTGGGACTAAAAAACAGTAACTTCAGGGTCATTTGCAGTCTATGTCCCTTTTGCCCTAACCACATCAGTATATTACATGTATGAGATCACAGCAGCTTCCCAGGGTCTCTTAAGTATTCACACTGATTGTTGTGATCTGTTCGAGGCAGTGATATTTGATGGCTTTTAATATTGGGTTGGCCAATAAGACTTGTATGGAGTTTCCACAAAAGATACATTTTTCATTTTTACCAATAACTTCATTGATTTGGATATTATGAGCATGTCAGCTGTCTCTCCCATGGTGTGAAGTTGATTGTTCTCAATGTTGATTTGATCGCTGTCAACTTCAACTGGTCAACGTAACCATCTGGAGCATCATCCAGTGAGAACTCTCCAGCACAAAACTTCACAAACCACTTTTGACATGTTCAATCAGTCATAACACCTTCTCTATATACCACATAAATACCGCATAAATCTTTTTTTTGCATTTCAGTTGCGTTTTTACCTTTCTTGAAATAATAAAGTATAATAATATGCCAAAAATGTTGCATATTTTCTTCTATCTTCAATATTAAAATGGCTACACAAAAATTCACCAATTTTGCTAAGTTTTTTTAAATGCACACTGATGTGATAGCTGTCACACTACAATCTAACAAAATTGTTTAGAATGAAATTACAGACAACTAAGCACTACTAGAACCATCTTACAGAAAAAAGCCTGAACGAACTTTTTGGCCAACCCAGTATATCTCCTGAAGGGTTGTGCACTCTATGACTACTGGCCTAACTGACTGTGGGAGTCCACAAGCCTTCCTCACTTTGATGAGTGACCACACTCCCCACAGCAGCAATCTTGTATGAGATAAGATGTGTACACTTAGCTGTGTATAAAAGACCCCATGTAATGGCAGCTTAGATAATAAGTTAATAGTGCATTTCTCATGTCAGATGTGGCCTAGTGGGACAGGTCTGGTCTGTGGAGTCATTGGAGACCAGGATTTTTCTGTTTCCAAACCATTGCTCTCCTTTGAGGAGTCCAAGGTGGCTGCCATGTGCACCCCAGGTACAGGAAGCGGGGAGGGGCAAGGGAGGACAATCCCTTTCCAATTAAGGCCCAAAAGCTGTACACATTCCATTTTCTCACTGCTCACTGGCCAAAATCTAGTTTCACAGCAACATCTAGGCTGCAAGGGAGGCTGAAAAATATATTTTATTGTGGGCAGCCACATGCCAGCTAAAATTTCTGTTACCATGTAAGAAGGTGAGAAGGGATGTGAGAGACACTAGCGATCCTCACCAGAGCACTGACAAGAATTAGATTTAATAGCCAGTCACCTCCCCAGGTGATGACCTGCCCACAGTTAGAACCAGGATAACCTTCCTTCCCTCCTTCTTTTCTTCCTTCCTTCCTGCCTTCCACTTATTCATTTATTCATTCAGTTATTCAACAAATATTTGACTGTGACGTACTGAAAATAAGAAAGTGGAAAGATACCGTCACTATCTTCAAAAAGCTATACTCTCGTTTGGTGGTTGATAAGTGACCCTTAGCTGGTACCTTGTGAAGAACAGACTGACGGGGGTGGAGGTGGCAGTGATCCAGATTAGAGAAGATGGGGAAGGGAGGGAGGAAAAAATGGGGGGATGGATGGTGGCCCCAGCTCTGATGCCTTTTGTAGGGATAGCAGACAATGAAAGTCAAGCATGGGAACCGGTTAAAACTCGCAAAACAGGATCCAACCCATGGCTTTGTTAGAGTGCAAATGGAAATGTGTTATTTTCTGAAGTAACATATTGATAGAAATTCCACTGCATGCCTCCTGTAAACCCTTATTTCCCCCTTCTACATTTTCTTATTAGAGATTCTGTGACGACTTGTTTCACTGCTTGTTTGGGAGACAAATATATTCAATTATTCAAAACCAGTTGTTGAAGGTTGTCTAAAGGCTAGGCAAGCTAGCTACAATCTCTGCCTATGCAAAAACAAGTGAACGAATTCAAGAAGAACAAATGCTTGTTTTTATCTTAGCTCTTCTCTAGCTGGTGAACAAAATGGAGTTTATTACAATTTGACAGCTTTATTAACTTGTAAGCTTTTTATTATTTTCACAATTGTAACACATTTTGAAAAACATTTAAAAGGAAAAAATACAGGGTCCAGCAGAAGTAAAGCCTGCTTGAGTAGGGTAATAATATGGGTGTAATAATTTATAGTGTTAATTTGAACCTAAACCTAAAATGCCATATGGCGTACTTGAGTGAATATTGTTATGTTGCAGAATTACGTGCTTACAATTTTGCAGTAAAAGATTTTGTAATTAAAAAGGGGCGTTATTTTTGCTGGACCCTATATAAACCCCTATGAGAGGTTGGTCTGTGCAATTTAGATCTCACTACTACCAGTCCCTTCTGAGTTAAACAAAAGAGGCTGATATAAATTACTTGTGGAATTTAGCTGTAAGAAAAAATCAACTCAATTTCCTGAAATGTCATATGTTTTTAACTTCAAAGGAAAACATCTGTATTTCCTTTCCCAAAAATACTCTATTTGCCTCAAGCCCTGTGACATTTACAGGCTTCCAGAAGATGGCGATATAATTGTTTTGCATGACAGTCTATCTGATATATATATATATATATATATTTTTAATTTTATCTACATATATGGGTATAATGATATATATAAAACATATATTAAAATCATATATAATCATATATATATATAAAATCTCTCAGAGACAGAGAAAGAGAAATGCTTATAGACACAGTAAAAAAGCACTTTTTCGAAAGGAAAAATGCTATAATCCCACCATTCCAAAGCCATGTTCAATGGGATCTATTAGCTTCTAGCATTTGTCGATATGCATGTATGATTACATAGGTACATTCATAGTGTGCATGGCATTTTAGTATACTTTGAAAAAATTCAACACCACATATATTTTTACACATTTCTACATGGCCTTCATAATCATATCAGTGGTTTATAATATTGCACTTTCTTAACCACTTATTGTTAAGTGTCATGTAGTATGCACTTTTTTATTAATGCTGACTACTATAGATAACATCGGCATTAATACCTTTGGTGCACAAATGGGTTACTGAGAGGAATTTAGGGGTTGAGACTGCTGGGTCTTAGATGCAGATGCCCTTTCTCTTTAACTTTCTGAATGGCTGTGCAGACTTTCATGCCTTGGGCAGAGGTTCTGGCTTCTGGCCAGTTACACTAGCCTTATGTTATTATTTGTTAAAATCCTGGATATCTGCATGATAGATCCATTCCACTCAACAATGAGTACTGGGAATACAATGAGGAAAACACAGTCAGATGGGAGCCAGATTTTTTGTTATACAATGCATACACAAATGTAACCCCCCCATCCCCACAACTATGGTGCCATGACAGAGAAGCAGGGTGTGATGGGCCCCCTCCAGGGCTGATTTGACTTGGTCAGGTGGTCCTACACATCCTGAGTGTTCACACTACTGTGGGATCTTGCCCGTGTTCTTCTCTTTGACTAGAACATCCCCTCAGATCCAGCCCCCACTTCACCAACCAGCATTATCTTAACTTCTGATGAGGTTGGAAAGCAAATCAGTGACTTGAAGGGGTGACTTGAAAGTGTGCCTCCCACACTGTGGGCCCAGAGTGCGTGAGCTGCACCCTTTCCACAGAGGCCTCCTATGAAAACCAAACCTTAAAGGACACATCTAATCACAAGGAAACCCCTTGGAACACTTAATATTTTAAAATTTAATTTAATTTTATTGTGCTAAAATACACATAAAACTTACCATTTTCATCACTTTTAAGCATCCAGTTCAGTGGCATTAAGTTACTGCCATTTACACATTCACTTAGCATAATGTCTTCGGGGTTTATCCATGTTGTGGCATGTGTCGCAATTTCCTTCCTCTTTAAGAATAAATAATATCCCTGCCACTGATAAGCCACATTTTATTTCTACATTTATCTGTCAGTAGACACAAGTTCACCTTTTGACTGTCACTGAATAATGCTGGTATGAACATGGGTGTGGAACTATCTGCTAGAGACCCAGCTTTCAATTTTTTTTTTGCAAATATACTCAGAGCAGATTGCTGGATCAAACATAATTCTATGTTTGCTTTACTGTTTATAATGTGGTGTCATGTACATGGTGATCAAATTTGGTTTTTACAGCAGTGCTGGGAGGTAAGTAGGCATTAGGATGTTCTGTGGCTCTGAAAATTGGTTTGCCCAAAGTGAAATGGTAAATGGAAGTGTCCTGGAGTGGAACTTGGTTCTGCCTGATTGCTCACCATTAACAGTGGTCCCAATCACATGCGTCCTTCCCAATGTCCTTCTGATTGTAAGCAGCTTGGTCCACTACTAGCTTCTACCCTGACCACTCTGGCCAGGTGTCACCACAGCTGGGTCCATTTCCCATGGCAAGGATGGAGGCTGTGTCCACGGTCCCTAATACAAAAGTTTCTCCTTTTGGCTTGTGTTTCCCTCTTTCTTCAGCTTTGTCACCTGGACCATGAAGATCTGGTGGCTCCTGCTTGCCACCGGCATTGGCATAGGGAATGTGAACTCACAGGACACGTGCCAGCAAGGGCACCCTGGTGTCCCTGGGAATCCTGGTCACAATGGTTTGCCTGGAAGAGATGGACGAGATGGAGCAAAGGGTGACAAAGGGGATGCAGGTACTTACCACTTGGTGGCCTTTAGCTACTGTTCCATTTATTCCTCCTTTTTCCTCATTTGTTCATTCATCACCTGTGTGGTCATCACCTGCCCACTCATTCACCCACTGCTCAGCAAACACTATTGAAGGCCTGTTCTATGCCAGATTCTGGGCTAAATGCTGGTGTACAGCACAGGGCAAGACCAACAGTAACTCCATCCTCATGGACCTTCTCATCTCATGGGGAAATCTGTTGTTATTTTCTACCTCTGTTACTACAGGACCATTTTCAGAAGTATTTGATCACTTAGATCTTCCTGCCTCAGGTGACAGGAATGATGGATCTTTGGCACATAGGGCTTTGAGAAAGACCCAACTGCTAAGTATTTGGCTGAGAGCACCTAGCTGCTCTGCAGGTGAAGAGTCAATGCCTTGCCATGCTGTAAGGCAGATGACACATAGTGACAAAGAATACAAAAATGGACATATGCCTGCTATTCTGGGATCTATGCCACATGTTGGAACCTACCATAGGTCTGGGGAATTTGAGGACAGGATCCAGACCCAGGAAAGGAGGTTTGCAAAAGCCAGGATGTGGGAGTGGTTTTCTTTTTTTCTTTTAAAGATTTTATTTATTTATTTTTAGAGAGAGGGGAAAGGAGGGAGAAAGAGAGTGAGAGAAACATTGATGTGGTAGAGAAACATTGATCAATTGCCTCTTGTACACACCTCATACAGGGACCAAACCTGCAACCCAGGCATGTGCACTGACCGGGGAACCAAACCAGCAGCATTTAGCTTTGCAGAACGATGCCCAACAACTAGGCCACACAGGTCAGGGTAGGTGTGGTTTTGATAACACCAACTGATAGGCTTGGGTTGTTTTTTAAAAATAATTTATTGTATTTTTTTCCTTTACCATTTAGTCCCTTTATACCCCCCACTCCTGCCCCAGCAATCACCACACTGTTGTCCACATCCATGAGTCCATTTTCATTTTTACTTAATCCCTCCACCCACTACTGTCATGCCCCCTTTAACTGTCATTCTGTTCTCCATCTATGAGTCTGTCTCTATGTTGCTTGTTAGTTCATTTTGTTCATTAAATTCCACATATGAGTGAAATCATATGATATTTGTTTTTCTGTGACTGGCTTAATTCACTTAGCATAATGTTCTCATGCTGTCACAAAGAGTTAAATTTTCTTTTTTTAATGGCTAAGTAATATTTCATTCTACAATTGTTCCATAGTTGTTTTATCTACTCATCTACTGATGGACACTTGGGCTGCTTCCATATCTTGGCTATTGTAAATAGTGCTGCAATGAACATAGGGCTGCTTATGTTCTTTTCAATTAATGTTTTGAGTTTCTTTGAATATATTCCCAGAAGTAAAATTGCTGGGTCAAAAGACACATCCATTTTTAATTTTTTGAGGTATCTTCATACTGCTTTTCACGGTGGGTGCACCATCAATCTGCTTTTCCACCAACAGTGCAAAAGGCCTCCCCTTTCTCCTCATCCTCACCAGAACTTGCTGTTTGTTGATTTATTGATGATGGCCATTCTTACCGGTGTAAGATGATAATTCACTGTGGTTTTAATTTGCATTTTTCTGATAATTAGTAATGTTGAGCATCTTTTCACATATCTGCTGGCCACCTGTATGTCTTCTTTGAAGAGGTATCTATTCAGGCCCTTTTCTCAAATTTTTAATTGGGTTGTTTGTTTGTTTTTGGTGTTGAGTTTTGTAAGTTCTTTATAAATCTTGGATATTAACTGCTTATCAGATGTATTAGGGAATATCTCCTATTCTGTGGGTTGTCTTTTTACTGTGTTGATGTTTTCCTCTGCTATGTAAAAACTTTTTAGTTTGATGTAGTCCCATTTGTTTATTTCTTTCTTTTGTTTCCCTTGCCTGGGGAGACATAGCTGATAAAATATTGCTACTATTTATGTAAAAGGAACTTGAAAAAGAACAACAAACAAAGCCCAAAGTGAGTAATTGGAAGGAAATAATAAAGATCGAAGCGGAAATAAATGAAATAAAGTATAAAAAATGTTACAAAATATCAATGGATCCAAGAACTGGTTCTTTGAAAAGATCAACAAGATTGACAAACCTTTAACCTGACTCATTTTAAAAAAAAGAGAGAGCAGACCCAATAAATAAAATCACAAGTGAAAGAAGAGCGAAAACAACAGACACAAAAGAAATACAAAGGATTGTAAGAAAACATTATGCCAACAAACTAGATAATCTGAATAAAACGAATAAATTCCTAAAAACATACGATCTTTCAAAACTAAATCAGGAAGAATCAGAGAATCTGAATAGATCACACCTACTGAAATTGAAGCAGTAATCAAAAAATCCCAACAACAAAAGAAGCCCTGAACCAGTTGTCTTCACAGGTGAATTTTATTAGGCTTGGTTTTTTGTTTTCTCTTTGTTTTTAGATTTTATTTATTTATTTTTAGAGAGATGAAGGGAGGAAGAGAGAGGAAGAGAAACATCAATGTGTGGTTGCCTCTCACACTCCCCCTACTGGGGACTTGGCCCACAACCCAGGCATGTGCCCTGACTGGGAATCAAACTGGCAACTCTTTGATTCTCAGGCCAGAACTCAGTCCATAGAATACACCAGCCAGGACTGGCTTGGTTTTTGAATGGGGTACTTGAGCCCTGGTTTTACCATCAGCATAATGATACCTCTGGGTTCAGGAAGAAAACATCAAAAATTCTATTGACATTTTCAAAGATAAATTTAAGAAAAAAATGAGCTTTTAAAATATTTAATACAGGTGTATCTTATTTTGTTGTGCTTCACAGATGTGCTTTTGACCAATTGAAGGAAAGACCCTCCACCAGCAAAATAACACCTTGGTTTATGTGTGATACTCGCTTTATCGCTGTGGTCAGGAACTGAACCGGCAAAATCTCTGAGGGATGCCTGTATGTGAATTGGTATGGGTGGCCTCACTGGGTCCATTTGCAGAGGGACATGTGTCATTCAAGGACTAAAATTGTCCTGTGGGAAGAGTGGGATCCCCACAGTGCAAACAGGTGGGCTGGGAGCCCTCACACTGTCACCCACTGCCTTCAGTGTAAGGTGGCGTGTGCAGTTGTGTGTGCCCAGCCAGGGAATTTTCACACTATCCTATCAAACCATCACAAACAGACAGGTGCCTAAACTACTTCTGTCAAGAAAGTGAAGATTGATGGTGGACTTGACAAGACAAGCATTAAAGACTCACACAAAAGTAGCACTACTGTCTTTTCTAGTCTCAGTGTGAACTCTGGAACAGCACATTACCAGGGAAAAATAATGACACACTAGTCGGATCTGACAAGAAAGTCTGTCAAAACCTAGAAATTATCATGACTTAGGACACATGAGTTTACATTAATTAAAATGAACCTCATCCTAACTGTAAACTGTACCAAGAGATACCAGTTACAAATAGGAAAAACCTCAATCAATAAGATGTCTCAGGACTCTGTGTGCCATGTGAACACACTGCTCTGCCTTTTTTTCTCAGCCATTCATTCAGTGTTGCACTAGAAAAACCTCCAAACTTAATAATAAACATTTAGAAGGCTCTTCTGATACTTATTAATCATATCAGAAGATTATATATTCCTATGTTTATATTTAAATGTTTGAAATAATATTCAGAAGGCAGTGTCAGGATGAACAAAATTAATTATTTGCCAGGAAATGCTGTTGGAATATGGATTTTTAAGAAGCCTTTGTTAGGTTTGGAAAAACAAGTATTAGAATACATACTTAGTACAGGAAGTCTGCTGTGCAGATGAGTGAACATCCAGGTGTTTTCTCTTTCCCTACTCATGGCATTGGGTGGTCTTGGGCATTATTGGGTGGGCTGCATGAAGCAGACATGCACCAGGAAGCAAGGCTATTTCTCTTCTACTATTCCCTTGCAAACCTGCTTGGTGTGCTCTTCTACCTGATAGCCTCTCCAGGAAGTCTATGTCACTTTTAGGCATTAGACCTGTCTCATTTCTGGGTTGTAAAGTAGCCAAGTACAAGTTCATGACAACACTTCAACCTTAATGAAATCCTTTCTTCTACTCTCCCACTGGTATCATAGAATGTGTGTGTGTGTGTGTGTGTGTGTGTGTGTGTGTGTGTGTGTGTGTGTCTGCCCATTCAGGCTACATCCCTGCCTTCCCGATTCATCCACCTTTCACTTCCACTCTCCTTGCTCACCGCAAGGACAGCTTTGACTCCATAGATGGGGCTAAGAAGGGAAGAAGAGGTGCAAGATGTTATATATTTGGTACTGTTGAAATCTGGCATTGGTGCCCTCTGAGGAAGATATGACTCAATGCTGGCTTTTCTCTTGTGAGACTTTTTGGGGTTCTTTGTAGACCCCCTTCTGCACCATTTCTTAAAATGGGCAATATACTCATTGCCTCACTACATCTGAAACTCACCCAGTCTCTTCACATATTCTCTTGCTATTGGGGTGCCCTTGCTTGGCAGAGGTTTTAGGGAGGCTAGCCCTTATAAGACATCTCAAGTCTAGCTTCTATGGATACACCCACTGACCCTGCACAACTTGGAACCTGTGCCCTGCCAGACTCTGAAAGCAGTGGTCCTTCCCCATGCTGCTGTCTGCTTTGTTCTACCATTTAGGCAGCTTCATTTGGTGCTACTGCTTCTTCTCTTTCTTCTTCTTCTCCTTTTCCTTATCCTTCTTCCTCTTCCTCTTCTTCCTTTTCCTCTTCCAAAATATTTTTAAGGATTTTATTTATTAATTTTTAGAGAGAGGGAGAGGAACATTGGTGTGAGAGAGAAACATCAATTGGTTGCCTCTTGTACATGCCCCAACCAAGGACCAAACCCATAACCCAGGCACATGCATTGACTGGGAATCGAAATTGCAGCCTTTCACTTTGAGGGAAAATGCCCGGCCAACTGAGCCATACCAGTCAGTGTGCTCTTCCAAAATATGATATTAAAAATAATAACTATAAGCAATCATCTCCAAGCCCCCACCCTCCCCAAAAGAACCATCACAAAGTTCACCATTTTTAAAAAATAATGTGGCACAGAGCAATTTGGTTTTGACCCTATATTGCATGTGGTCCAGCTTGGTTGTGAATCAAAAGGCTGATGGGACTCAGGTCCTGCCAAGGAGGTGGGGTTCAGCATTTGGGAAGGAGGCCAACCCCTCCTACTCCTTCGAAGTACAAAAGGCAAAGCTTAGGTTTCCATAGCAACCAAGCATTATGTCCTTGTCATTCTTTGACAGGCCCAACTTATCTTCCATGAGGCCCCATTGGTCACTAGGGGAGTAGGAACTGAAAGGGAAGGCAAATGAAATGTGGAAGTGGGAAATCAGACTCCCAGAAACTCCCAGAGTCTCATTTAAACATTTGGAACAGATCAATTGATTCAAAAAGGCCCCCGTTCACAGAAAGCTGTGGTAACCCGACACACACATACCACAAGAGTTTGTGAAACCCTGAAATGAGAGGAAAGGAATCCATAGTTACTGCTTTAAACCCTCACCAAACACACACACACACACCCAGAGTGGTATCCAGGGATCTGGCCCACTGAGGCTGAGATGTGGAGGGAGCAGCCTGATCCCATCAATGGGCCCCGAAGCACAGAAGAGCTCGTGAAGAGGTGCTGTGGGGCCAGTGCAGGCTTCTTCTCCACTGTGGATATGTTAAAATCCAGAAAAAGTCATCCTAACCTGAGCCCCTCTGGTACTGTGGGCTCAGTGCCTCAAAGGAGGCTGGATTGGGGTGGGGCAGCACTTTGTTCTGGGGGCCTGGAGGAGCCACTGGATTCTGAGGGGT